ATTGTAAGTAGTTATTTAAAAAATTGTTCAAAATGAGATAGAATTATATATTGTGTCTTCTCTAATCAATTACATTTTCTTTGTAGGATGAATTATTAGAGCAAAGTTCACAAGGGACCTTTACCCCTAGTGGACGACAAGATATATTATTCACTGCTATTGGACGACCAGAGCATCCAGGTCGTGTGCGGGCAGCTGGATGGGGGATTGGCATCCGACAATATTTTGGCACTCCTAAACCTTCCACAAAAAGTGTGGTCACTAGAGATGAGTTGCAGACCATCAGGGATCAAATTAGGGAAGAGCTTCGGGCGGAGCTAAGGCGGGAACTTGTCTCCTTAGGCTTATCTCGGGGAACACAGGGAGGGGGTCAACAATGTGTTCCCGTACCTTCTCGCCCGAGGAACGTGCTAGCACCAAAGGGAGTTGTGCACAGGTTGACGTTCATGATGATGAGTCAACTCCACTTGGTGAAGACACTCCTAGGCCTCTATGCAAGTTCTTCACACAGGAAGGCTTACTAGTGGCTTATGGTACTGTGCATACATTGGGGCCACTTATACACGGGGTACAAATGACGGATTCCGTTGTTCGTGTTGTGGTTAAACGGGTGGAAGTTTCTGAAGCTCCTGTTCCTGTTCCGGTCCGACGAGGTTAGAACGAGTGGGGAGGCTCCGGTCATTTCATTCAGTGGCCTAGAGCACTTATCCAGTTTCCTACCGATCGGGTATTATATGATTTCTTTAATAATTTGATACATGTTTATAATTTTATTATTTTATCATAAATTTTAATTTAATTCCTTGATGTGTATAGGACATTTGTGCCCAGCAGAAAGGAAAGGAGAAGGGGAAGGAGAAAGTTCAAGAGGAACTGGACTCGGATCCGATACAAAGGTTATGCCTCTTAGCTTATAGGCTAGGAAAGCATATACCTTTACAGATCCGAGATGGACCCTCATGTGATTGGGAATCCGCGAGCACATTACGTTGTACTTGAGTCGAAGGACATTATGGATGTTGTTTTGAGTGAAGACATGATTTGCGTCACAATTCTCCAAGTCTGGTTAATGTAAGTCTTATGTTTTTATTTAAGTCAATTGGTTGTATGCCCTATTAGACACCAACTTGTCTAAAATGCAACTAACATGATATTTTCAATTTCTAGTTACCTCGAGCAAAGTTGTTGTGGAAAAGGGAGTAGAAGATGTCTATGGATTCATTGATCCTGTCCACATTCGAGTTTGGGGAACAAACCAAATACTATTCAAGCATACATTCAAAAGAGATTTTGTGAAGGATCAAAGGAAGTTTATCTCGCACCATATCATTATGGGTAAGTTTTTTTAAATTACTTACTTTCAAACTTTGAATCTCTTAAGAATTGCTAATTGAGCGACATTTTTTGTAGGTCTCATCGGCAATCTGTTTATCCTTTGTCCTAAACGTAATGAGACTATTTTTTTATGCTCTTTATGGAATAAACCCAAAAAGGAAATTAAACAGATTATTGATGTGTAAGTATACTAACACCCTTGTATAATATTTCATTCATTTCATTTTAAGTTGCACATGTCTTAATATGAAGTATTTTCCATTTAATCTTTTATAGGTGTATAGAAGCATACTCAGTCATGGAGGGTAAGCCTAAAAAGAAACCCACATGGATACTTCCACGTGTAAGGACATTATCTTTCAAATTCTTAACTTTAATTTACTCATTTTCTCGTATTTAATGTTTTATTTTTTCTTATAGTGTAATAAGCAAAAAGGAAGTTGGGAGTGCGGATATTATGTGATGAGACATATGTTAACAATCATCACAAGCAAATATCACGGATTCATGGAATTTGGTATGTGTTATGACTATATCTATGTCATTGACATATATTTGCCTACTTCGCTTTTCGAAATATTTTTTTTGTTTGTAGATATTCGATGATGGTCATCCAATAAGGGAATCGGAGATTGATGACATTAGACGAATTTGGGCAGATTTTGTTATTAAGAACTATAGTAGTGATTGAATTTAATTGTGAAACATTATGACTCGCTAGTTTCTTTGTATATATAAAACTTAGAATACAATACATGTTTATTGTTTGTTGATACAATACAATGTAGATATACAATATACATTATGTTTACTTGTGTGTTAATGCATGTCCTCTATATATAGATTAACATTCTGAGTAGCTGTAACTATTTAAAATGCTGTACAGGTTCTGGAAAATTCAAAACTAAAATTCGAATTTAAAAAAAAATATGACTTTCCACATCGGTTATGGCCATAACCGATGTAGAAAGTGATTTTTAATACTTTCCACATCGGTTCTAGGCCTTAACCGATGTAGAAAGTCCGACTTTCCACATCGGTTCTAGGCCTTAACCGATGTAGAAAGTCCGACTTTCCACATCGGTTCTAGGCTATAACCGATGTGGAAAGTCGGACTTTCTACATCGGTTAAGGCCTAGAACCGATGTGGAAAGTCGACTTTCTACATCGGTTCTTAACCGATGTTAAAACTCACCAACTTTCTACATCGGTTGTATCTACATCGGTTTTAGAACCGATGTAGAAAGCTGATTTTAACCGATGTTAAAAGTGTTTTCTGCACTAGTGAAAGTTTCATGATTTATTTAATTTTGAAAAAATATCATGGATTAGTGTATATATTAGAAGGTTAGTGAGAATAAATTTTGTTTTTTAATTTTATACATGAATGATATTTTACTTGCAATGATTGATAAAGGTATATTATACGAGGTGAAATAATTTCTCTCAAAAAAGTTTGAGATAAAGGATACAAGAAAAACATCTTTTAGTCTTACACATACGATTCATAAATAAAGATCTCAAAGTATTTTGGATTTATCTCAAAAAAATCTATATCAACAAAATTTTAGAGATATTTGACATGAAATCCATCAAGTGCAACTCCCATTAGAAAGGATGCTAGACTTATTATATTAAGTTAATGACTAAAATTGATTTGAGTAATATTCCATATACTTCACTGAAGTCTGATTATGTATGTTTAAGTTTACATTAAACCTGACATTGCATCTCTAGTGGAAATTATGGGAATATATCAGAGTAATTAAGGTATTGGCCATTAGAAAGTTGTTGTAAAAATGGTAATCAGATAACTTTAAGTAATAAGTAATTTCATGCTAGAGGGATAATTTGGAAAATGATAGACTAGTATGGTGCAGATTTTGTTAACTGCGTTAATACTAAAAATTCACTTCTAGTTACATTTTTGTGCAAATGGAGTTGTGCCTTGAAGAAATAGAAAGTAAACCTCACATCTCATCTTCCACTATGAGGCTAAATTTGTTTCTTATTTTGAAGCATTTTTACATGGTGTTAAGAGTTTTCCATTTGAACTTATAAATATGAACTCAATTACTAGGCTAGTGAAAGTGAAGTTATATCGTAATTATTCTATTATAGTATTTATGCTTAAAAAAATAAAATGCTCATTTAATACGTTAACACTAAGTTAATGGTTGTTGATCTTTAATTTAAAATATGCCAAAAAAAAATTAAGGATAATGTAAAATAAACGAGACTAATGGTGAAATATTAAACATATTGTTTATTTATTAAGAGTTAGACTTGTTGGATTTAATTTTATTTTTTAGTTTTTAAAAAAAGTTTTAAAAATTAATTGAATGTGAAAAACATTATTTGAGAACTCTATTTTTAAAAACTATTTTAAATAAAAAAATAATGATATTGATTACGTAACAAAAGTTAAAAAATGATTTGGATAATTTATAATAATGAAAACTGAATGATTTAATGTAATTATTGATAAAAATGATGATAATAAAAAACAAAAAACATCTTTTACCAGTTTTATTTTTAATTTTGAAATTAATTTTTCAAAATAAAAAACTAGTTTTACAAAATACTTATAAAGATTTTTAGTTTTTAAAAACTAAAAAACTAAAATTATTTTTAAAAACATTTAAACAGACGAACTCTACTTATTTTATGCTAATAATAATAATAATAATAATAATAATAATAATAATAATAATAATAATAATAATAATAATAATAATAATAATAATAATAATAAGTAATGACATAGAAACATTATCAAAATTTGTAAAATTTAAAAATAGGAGACAATAGTAAAAAAATTTAAAAGATAACAAAATAAGGACATTATTATATTATAATTTTTTGTTTCAATAATAAACTTATTGAAAAACATGTTTAAATAAATATATAAAAAAAACATGGTATCATATTTTTAACCCAAAATATAAGCATCTCCTTTAGAGCCATTTATATATATGTTATTTTTTACATTTAAAAATATGAAATAGATATTTAATGATGCAACATTATTTTCAAGGAATTTAATATTAATTTTATTTCATTGAAATTTTCTTAATAAATTTTAAAATTCTTATTCTCTTTTTATTTATTTTGATTTATTGATTTTTGTAATTGACGTAATAAATAAATTCTAAAAATAAATTAAATAATTTATTATACTATATAAAAAAATTTCTTACTGAAACAGAGAATTTGAAAAATAAAATTATAAGAATATATAATGATTTACTTACGTTGATTTGAGTAAATTTAGGGTGATGTTCCACACTCTCACAAATTTATTATATAGTTAAATAATAAATATCTAAATTATTCTCATTAATTTTTTTAATTTACATAAATATTACAAATCATCTCACAAAAACAATTTGATCATTATAATAAAAATATTATTATTTAATAACAATAATAAATCCCCTCAAATTTTTTCAAATTCATTATTTTTACTTCTATCTAAACAATCCCATAAATCCACTCAAATCATCTTCATTTCATTTCATTACATCCTCCCAAATCCATGAGACAAAGGAAAACAGCTCAATGAGATTTTCTTTTTATGCAAAATACTCAGACACAAGTCTTTGTCTGCATTAAATTTCCATTTCCCCATCTTGGAAACGACATTTCATCTTTACTTCTTGCAGTCTTTCAATTCTCTCTCTCTAGGGTTTAGCTGGAGAGATTCTCTCAAATTTGTCCCTCTTCTCCGCCATTTCAAAACCTTCAATATCTCTCCCATGGTCTGTTCTCATCTCTCTGCATTTTCCTTTTGATCTTTATTTCATCATAATGTCTCTTCCAATTTTCATTTGAATTTGATTTTCTGTTTTGCGCAACTTGAGCGGAGACCATAACTGTCAACTACTTTGACCCTCTTGTTCAACTCTCATTGCTTCAACTTTCAGACTATGTTGTATAGTATGATGTTTATATGACTTGTGTATACAGTAGTAGATGTGAAGAGTGATTCTCTTGAATACATAACAAAAATAATGTAAAAATAAGACAAGAAGAGAAAACTTATTAGGGTTGCTCTAGATATGTTTCTGTTCAAATAAATAGCCTCAAGCCTTGCATGTAACAACAGAAAATAGCTGTGTCTGAAACCTGTAGCATTTCACATTTTCATGATTCCACAGTGCAAATTGAGACTGAGTGAGTGTGTCTTAAATATCACAGTAACTTATCTTTACAACCTTTCCAAACTTCGTTTGTTTTTAGATGATGTTGTGTGTATATCTTAACAATGCAGCTCTTTTTTTTTTTTTTTTTTTTTTAACTTTTATGTAGGATCTTAAAACAAACATGAACTTGTCAGATTCCTCTTCCAAGATGCAAAAATTCAGTGAAGATCAGGACAGAATCAGCAATCTACCTGATGTCATTATTGGTCACATTCTCTCTTTACTTTCTACCAGAGAAGCTGTTCGCACTAGTGTTTTATCGGAGAGATGGGAATACATGTGGACATTCATCACCAAGCTGCACTTCGACGATAGAGATTATTGTTGGAAAATTAATAATAATAATAATAATAATAATAATAATCCTGATTTTGATTCTAACAATCAAACATAAACATAATCACATACCGATAAACATGTCTGTAACCGAATGCGAAAGCGTACTCGAATTAGCCATAACGATGATGTCTTTGTAGAGCACTATATTGATCTTATGGTCTTCCACCGAAGAGCACTGTATTTCCCTCTTGATTTTCTCTCTTGATGGGGATAGAAAGAAAGGAATGGGACCGATACTTACGTTCGTGTGTGTGCTCTCGAAGGGGACCATGACCCTTTAGATAACTAGAATTAGGTTAATTACTTAAGTTTTAGTATTTCCAATTTGGCCCCTCATCAAATTAGAAATTGCTCTATGGTCTCTACACAATTTTATTTTCATGACATATGCTTTTAGCCAAAACTTTAATTTAGTCAGATCACTTTATTATTTGGCTTAATAAATAATGACCCTAACACATTTAAATTATGTATCATATATATACATGACCCAAATTTTTCCAACAATCTCCCACTGGTCACAAATATATATGTTCTTACAACCTTACAAATATGTTAGACTTTATGAGCTCAAAAGTGCCATTATATTCCTTTAGCATACTCCAAAAGTCCTGTCCATTAATCATATTAGGATATAGAACCAAACCAGCTTTTCATTGCATCATCGCAACTAAAACCAACAATGATTACTCATCCTAACATAACCAAATGACATGGATTCATCATGAAATGTGTAGCATGAAAAATTACGTGAAGGTGATCTGTACACGTCTATTTTCAACTGGTCCAAACTTTAAGTTATTGAGATCGATATAATATCCTTAATGTACAAAGTGTAATGAATGAATGAAAAAACCGCATATCTATAGATAACCAAATATATCCAAAAAAACAATGTATACATATATGAAATTAAACATAGAACATAAAATATATGAAAGTGATTAACTCTCACTAAACCACAAATTCCTCAAACTGTAAAACATCCATGTGAGCAAAATGCTCATGAAAGACCTTGGGCGGAAGTCCTTTAGTCGAGAGGATCTCGGTATCATGGAGTTTGTCCTTAAGTGTTCTATGAAAATCATGTCCACTTTGTACTCTTTCCTTAACAATACGAGCTGATTTATTGTCACAATATAACTTAAGTGGTCTTTCAATGCCTTTCACAATTTGCAGCCCTGTGACAAAATTTATCAGCCATATTCCATGATTTGATACCTCATAGCAAGTTACAAATTCTTGACATTCTACAAAATCTGAGTCAGAAAACCCAGCGATCTCCAACTGGTCTGACCTCCTATATGTGAGCATATAATCTTTTGTTCTCTTTAAATATCTTATGACCCTTTTTGCTGCTTTTCAATGGTCTATTCCTGGATTGCTTAAATATCTGCCTAGAACCCCAACTATATATGTTATGTCCGGATGCGTACATACTTGGGCATAGATCAAACTCCCTACAAGCGATGCATAGGGAATCTTTTGCATTTCCTCAATTTCCAAATTCCCTTTGAGCACTTGATTGAGACTAAACTTGTCTCCCTTTAAACTTGTGATACATACAATCATCAACAATATTCATCTTGAAGCCAAATGAGTTTCATACCTTCTGGTAATGGGACAAGTTCCCAATAACCTTATTGTCTTGCATGGACTTATACTTATCCTATTGCTTCAATCCACTTTTGAGATTTAGAACCTTATATAGCTTGACGGAAGTTAACTGGGTCATCTTCCATTATATCATTATTTTCCTCATGTTCCTGAAGAAATACCATGTAATCATCCGAAATAGCACTTCTTCTTTCTCTAGTGGATCTCTGCAAAGTTATTAGCTCATGATGCACAGGTTCTTGAGGATCTTGAGTTTGTTCTTCATGAACAACCAAATCATCTTGAGTGAGGGGTTCATCAACAATGCCTTGTGGAGGTTCCGAACTTACTTTATCAAAAGTAACTATTTGAATCGGTTCTGAAATTGTTACCGATTCTTCCTCCAAGATGAAGTTCTTAATCTTATTCTTCCCCCCAAACTCAATATCCTCAAAGAACGTAGCAGTTCCCGTCTCAAAAAATTATCTTTAATGTGGGATCATAATATTTATATCCCCTGGATCTTTCAGCATAACCAATAATATAATCACTTACTGTTCGGGAGTCCAATTTCTTTTCATTTGACTTATAAGGTCTTGCCTCAGCTGGACAATCCCACACATGGAAATGCTTCAGACTAAGTTGTCGCCCAATCCAAAGCTCATAAGGTGTTTTGGTAGCTGCTTTAGTTGGTACTCTGTTTAGAATATAAGCTGTCATATTTAGTGTCTCTCCCCAAAGTGATTTCAGTAAGGTTTAATGACAAATCATACTCTCTACCATATCTTTAAGAGTGTAACATAAGCCCAAACGTTACAATTTGATGTTACCTGAGCACTTGTGCCATAATGCACTTGAGTGAGTATTCTCAATTTTACGTTTAGTACCACATGATTCTGCATTAAGGGTTTCATTATAGGTGACCACAATATCAAGTAAATACTGATTATCATAAATTAAAAGTGAACCAGTTCCAACAATATCTGAATTAAAAGACAAACTGAACTTATTGTTTCCAAATGAACATAAATAACCTAATTTGTCCAAATAAGAAACTGAAACCAAATTCCGTCTAAATGACGGCATAACAAAAGTGTCTTTCAAATCCAAATAAAAAATCAGTACTTAATAATAATTTAAAATGACTTATAGCTTCCACCTCTACCGATTTGTCATCTCCAACATAAATTCATCTTTTAGAATCAATTGGCTTCCGGTAGTTTAGGCAACCCTTTCTTTTCACGCCAAGCATGATATTTAGCACATTTCTTCTTTACGTGTCCAGTCTTATTGCAAAAGAAATATTTGTTTTCTTGAGTTTGTTTCTTTTGTTCTGGACCCTTAGCACCTTCTTTCTCGAGATCCTCTGATCTCTTTCTTTTGCCCTTAGCCTTGGAGGTGCTTGCAAAAAATGAGCACTTTCTATCTTGTCTTGCTTTAGTCTTTCCTCTTCTTGTACGCAATGTGAAATGAGCTCATTAAGAGACCATTTATCCTTCTGACAGTTGTAAGATACCTTAAATTGATTAAACGTTGCAAGAAGAGAAATCAACACCAAATGAATGAGCAAGTCTTCTGAGAGTTCAAGCTTTAGTGTCTTGAGTTTAAAAACAATATTAGACATGCTCATAATGTATTCCCTGATATTTCCTTTGCTTTGATATATCATGGAGATCAAGTTCTGAAGAAGAGTGCTTGTCTCCGCCTTATCGCTTTTTGCAAAGCGCTGCTCAATTTCAGCAAGGAATTCTTTGGCACTTGTGATGTTTTCAGAAACAGTGCCCCTAAACACCTCCGGGATGCCACACTTAATGATTATTAGACTCATGCGATTTGAGCGATCTCACCTCTCATAATCTCTTTTCTGTTCAGAGGTACTTGAATCCGTAAGAGTAGGGGTTTGCTCAGTCCTTAACGCAAAATCCATATCCATGCAACCAAGAACAATATCAATGTTCTCTTTCCAGTCCTTAAAATTTGTTCCATTGAGGACCGGAACAGAATTTAATTTGGCAGATATAGAAGCAATTGTAGCTGAATTTAGAACACGAGAAATAAACTAATTATGCTCACATTATATAAAAAATAAATAATATATATTCAAATAGTGGTTTAACCCATCTCAAGATACCCAATGCACCATCAATATCAAGTCTTTGGACAAGTAATATTAACTGCTAGAGGTATCTTGTTGTAATAATCAAACATTGACAATAAAGCACGTCCAACAACAAACCAGTCTTTGGATTGATTTATCATCGACAAAACAAATCCTTATAATTATCACATGTTTATCATTACAAGTGTGTATGCAATTCGGCCAAATATTAATCTTCCTTTGGGCCGACTAATACTCGCATGAATATACACAAACACTAACATTCAATATTTTTCATGAACTGCCCAATTCAAGAGAAGTTACTTTGGTGACTTCTTGACTCAATTTGCTCACAAAAAATATTAAACTACCAAAAATTGAATATTTTATTTATTTAACAAAACCAAATATTTAATATTTGCAAACTACTTCAAAAGAGAATCACCCCATTATAATTCTACTAAGGATGAACACCTCCCTAGAATCTCATTAGGGATGAACACCTCATTTGAACAAATCAAAGGATGAAAAAAATGCCTCATTTTCCACTAATACATAAAGGATGAACATCTTCCTAAAATCACACTAGGGATGAAACAGAGATAGTTCTGAGTCTCTTTAGCATACTGCTCTAAACCCTAAAAGGGAATTAAACAGTAATCACTCAGACCCTAATTTAACATCAAATTTTCCTTAAATTCCTAGGGGATAGAGGCAATAAAATAATAATAGCCAAACATGTGGAAACATTCATCATTTACCTAAGATTCTCTGTGTTGGGAACTCCACAAACACCACCCCCAATTCCAAACCCATAAAGTTAAATAAAAACAAAAGATTAAAAAAAGAACGAGAGAACCCAATACAAGAAAAATTGAAATATGAAACACTATTTCTTTCTCAAGTAAAACTTGAAACTTAAACTCGAAACAAAAGTGAAAAACAAAGAAGAAGAAGAATCCATAGCTTCCTCCACGGCTCCATCGACGAAGCAGTAATCAGATTGAGGATGTTACCCCCAAATTTAAATTTTAGGGTTCACAAAAATTAGAGATTATCCTCCACTTAGGGTTCATAAAATTGGGTAATCTGAATTGTTTAAAACAAAATTAATCCTAATTTTCATAATTAGGGTTCTATAAATTAAACGAGACATGAATCAAATATGGGCGACTCGATACCAATTGTTGGAAAATTAATAATAATAATAATAATAATAA